ATATCAGATATTTACGTTACGATTCATAACAGTAGCAACACTACAGTTATGAAGTAGCAACAAAAATAATTTTATGGTTGGGGGTCACCACAACAAGAGGAAATGGATCAAGGGGTCACAACACTAGGAAGGCTGATATACACTGGTCTAATCCATTCAAGCAACTTGTGACTCTTGTCTTCTAGGCTATTAGATCTCTCTCTCTCTCCCAGTTTGCAAGACGGATCTAATACCCCAGAGGACAGGTCCAACCTCCTTCTGTCACATTTCTTTGTTAATATTCCATTTGTTGTGTGAAAATGGATCCATCCTTGAATCACAGAGTTGGAAAAGAGCACAAGGTCATCCAGTCCAACCCTTTGTGTCAAGCAGTAAGACACAGTCTAAGCACTCCTGACCGATGGCAATCCAGCCTCTGCTTTAAATTCTCAAGAGAAGGATATTCCACTGTCAAAGAGTGCTAACCATCAGGAAGTTTTTCAAATGTTTTGGGCGAATCTCTTTTCCTGCAGAGTGAGACAGGAGCAGGATTCAAAACGATCTTGACAGATTAGAGAGATGGGCCAAAACTAACAAAATGAAGTTCAACAGTGACAAATGCAAGATACTCCACTTAGGCAGGAAAACCGAAATGCAAAGATCACCACGGAGAAGGCCTGGCTCGAGAGCAGTACGTGTGAAAAAGATCTTGGAGTCCTCGTGGACAACAAGTTAAACATGAGCCAGGAATGTGATGTGGCGGCAAAAAAAGCCAATGGGATTTTGGCCTGCATCAATAGGAGCCTAGTGTCTAGATCTAGGGAAGTCATGCACCCCATGCTCTATTCCGCTTTGGTTAGACCACACCTGGAAATTGTGTCCAATTCTGGGCACCACAATTCAAGAGAGATATTGACAAGCTGGAATGTGTCCAGAGGAGGGCAACTAAAATGATCAAGGGTCTGGAGAACAAGCCCTATGAGGAACGGCTTAAGGAGCTGGGCATGTTTAGCCTGAAGAAGAGAAGGCTGAGAGGAGACATGATAGCCATGTATAAATATGTGAGAGGAAGCCACAGGGAGGAGGGAGCAAGCTTGTTTTCTGCTTCCCTGGAGACTAGGATGGAACAATGGCTTCAAACTACAAGAAAGGAGATTCCATCTGAACATGAGGAAGAACTTCCTGACTGTGAGAGCCGTTCAGCAGTGGAACTCTCTGCCCCGGAGGGAGTGTGGTGGAGGCTCCTTCTTTGGAGGCTTTTAAACAGAGGCTGGATGGCCATCTGTCAGGGGTGCTTTGAATGCAGTATTCCTGCTTCTTGGCAGAATGGGGTTGGACTGGATGGCCCAGGAGGTCTCTTCCAACTCTTTGATTCTAGGATTCTATGAAATCCTTGCTCCTTATCTCACAGAGGAGATTT